ATTATTTTCTCATTTGACAGCCATGGACAAATCACTTTCGAAAAGAGGTAGAGCCTATCAATGTATGGCCTGTGACTACACAGAGGAAAGGAGGAGAGTGGTATCACATTATTACAAACATCATGTGGCTTTGGAGAGATGTCCTTTCTTCTGCACCCTCTGCTTGTTTCGAGCTTGGCGGCAACATGATCTGGACAGGCATGTCACAAGCTATCCTGATCATAAGGCGAAACTTCTGACGTGTGAGTCAGCTGGTCGACAGTTCGATACCTTCAACTTCCTTAAGAAGTCGGAGCAGCCCCTCATCCTGATGGATGATCTTCACCTAAAAAGGCTGACTAAAGAGGAATCTGAAGCAACCTGGTCAAGGAGAGCCATTGGGAAGGTGCCTGCAGACCCGCTAAAAGAAATTCCTGAATTTCTACATACTGAGGAATCACTGGCCCTCCCGACGTTGGATGAATTCGACCTAAGTATGTTTGATGATATTAGGGAAGTTGTATGCAAGGCCCCCCAGGAGGTACCAATGGCCCGGGAGGACTTACACATTTCTTCAACACCAACACCTACACTAGACACTGTGACAGAAAAGTTCATTTCTTCAACACCAACACCTACACTAGACACAGTGACAGAAAAGTTATTATCATTATTGGAAACCAAAAATCACATAGATGACGGCAATACGAAGATTCTAGTGTCCATTTCGCGTGACTTGAACGAGCTAAAAAAGGGACAGAAATCCATAGAGGAAAAGTTGGACCAGCTATTACAGCCAAAGAGGAAGAGGTCAAAGAAGGAATAACTGTGTGGACTTTATTGAATGACTTTGAATTTGTAGATACTAAATATTTCTTCTAACTAAATAACTATTGCTTTTATAGGGTGTATACAGAAAAATTGGACTGGATTATAGCAGATTAGGTTCTTAGAGGTGAGGGTGGATTTTAATGTTGTACTATTTGAGAAATTGGCATGCAGAGATAGCGTAAGTCATCGAAAAATTAGGGAAAATTATTCCTGTCAACTTATTAATACTATGCATTTGAATCAGTTCAATTCAACTTTATGATTTAAATCATAACTTTATATACATAGACTACTATAGTCTATATTGCTTTTACCGGGTTTGGTGTATGGATATCATATTTACTGATTTAGGTAGAACATTAGTATTATTCATATAGATAATAATTCTGTAAAGTAGTAGTCACATACAATGAATTACTAGTTAATATTATGCCCCAGTGTGCAATGTTAGGTTATAAATATATCATCATATCTGTATTATCTATGTACATATTACAGTATGAGAGCGTCCATGGGGGCATGAACAATTTTAAGTGGGGGGTAGTGTGACAAGATGTGATTATGTAGTGAAAGTCCTTTTCCAGAATCGAATGTGTGCGTTAGTAGTATTCGTATCAATTTAGTAATTATTCTATTATTAGTGTGATTGACAGTTGTAGGTATGAATAGAGTGAATGTTTATGTCATTATTAAGCGTTAACTTCGGTAGTTACCTAAGTCATCCTCCGTACTATTTATAATCTTGGTAATACTTCTGTCGTCTGTTCAAGAGCACGTTTGTGTAGCGGAAGTTTGCATCGGAAGTGACGTAGTACGCAAGTCGGTCAGCAGAAACGAAAGTAAATACTCTTGGGAAGAAGTCGTAGCGAGAATGTAAGTCGATATTGTGCGTGCATGTGAGTAGGAGTTAATTTATTTATGACAGAGATTTGTGTATAATACTTATTTAAACTTATTTAAACTAGTAAACATTTTCCAGCAAGAATCCAGCGAGGGGGGAATATGTTCACGCGATCTCTATAGTAACATTCCAGCAAGACTCCAGCGAGCGTTAGTTTTGAAGTTTTGGGGTTCAGTCTGTACTAGGCAGCTTAGGTGGGTGTGTGTTGTGCTTGTCTCTACGTGTTTCTTCCGCTATGGAATAACGAGGCCATTTCCTCAATTCCAAATGCGGCTGTCTCGTCTTGTATGTTTGTTTATGTGGTTATGGGTTATATGGGGATTGGGTTAATTTATTATTTATTGGGGATTTGTGTAGGGTTTTAATAACTTAATACATCTACGGAAGGGATGTCATTTTTAACGGGATTTGGGAACGTTTATAGTTTATTTTAAAGTCTTGTTAAAATTTTATTCATTAATATTTCATTAGTAGTTCTTCATCCATATATAATAAGTTATTGGGGAGTTTTTATTAGGCTGGAGCTTGCTGGAGTAATAGGATTATTATTATAAATATTATAGATACTAAGAAGGAATATTTTTGCAATTTCCTTCTTGTTAGTTTTCATTGTTGTACATCCAGAATTTTCATTGTATATATCATCTAATAATGTTTACAGCATGCTTGTGAGAAAGGATAGAGAGTTAGTGATAGTGAGAGGGATAAGGAAGGCTTAGTGATTGGGAATGAGAGATTGTTATTGTTAATATTTAAATCCTTTATTGTTGACAATTAAATTATTGAACTTGAATTCACTCTTTGGTTTTTGATGAATAGGATCATTATCCAGGGGATAATGAGTCACCTTAGAGAGTAAAACAAAATTTAACTCTACAATTGGTCTAAGGTCATAGCTATGGTGTAAGGGCAGACAACTCAAAAGGAGTTTAGTCCTGTTTACCAGTATCCAACTAGTCAATTGGAACTGAGTAATTCAACTGAAGTCAGTTTGTATTGACAACCTTTATTGATGTTGGAACCAGTACCTGTAAATGAGAGCAGCTTAAGAAGAAGAGATTGATGACAAAATTACTATAGTTGACATTATTTGAGACTTTGAGGATGACATGTCTTTAGTCCTTTATGGACTTGGTATTAATCAGATTAATACCAAACTCTTATGTAGCAGTCAGCCACGCTACCATATTTGTGGTTGGGTCGAACCACTTGGCTGTTACAATATGATAAACAATGTGCGGTAATCTTTGTGTGTTATTAACTGTAATCAGGTTTTTTTTATTCTTGGTATTTGTCCTCTCTATTTACTGAATTATTATTATTATTATTATTGCTATTATTACGAACACCTAAACCCAACGTTGACACATGCGTATTGTGGTGGGTTTTCTTAACTTGTATGAGTTAGCTCAGTTGCTCTAAGGTCACGAAGATAAGGGCCCATATTCATGAATCTGTTCTCATGCTCAAGTATTAGTTCTGTGCTCAAACCGACTTTCTTGTCACTCGTTTAAATCATGTCAAACGATCAAAAAGTCACATGTTAACATTGAAAACAGTATTTGACTTAAAGTCTCTTCAAAGTTTTTTCAATTCATTGACAAAATGATTTTTATTATCAAGTTATAACCGGAGCAAGAAATCATACATGAGCACAAAATCCATGCATGACCATGAGAACGTTTTCTTGAATACGGTTCATTGGCTTGCGAAAAATGCTTTTGGAAATTACCACAGTATCGTATGAGTTTACGTTTTGTCGAGTGTCAAGTTTCCGATGATCGTATAAATCCAAGCCTTATCTAGTGTCACGTTCCCATTGACTGTAACAGTTAGAGGCATATTGATGTATCTTAGGTATAATAAGAGTTACTGTTTGAGATGAAACCTTATTGAAGTGCCCTGGTTCATATGACTCTGTGTTGTGCCCTGGTTCCAATGACTTTTTGTGTTGTGCCTTGGTTCTAAGGACTTTTCGAGTTGTGCTGTTGTTTGAATGACTCTGTGAGTTGTACTTTGGTTTTAATGACTGTATGAGTTGTACTTTGGTTTTAATGTCTGTATGAGTTGTGCTGTGGTTTGAATGACTGTATGAGTTGTGCTGTGGTTTGAATGACTGTATGAGTTGTGCTGTGGTTTGAATGACTATCAATTGTGAGGTGATTTCGAAGGACTCTAGGATTTGTGCCTGTATTTCAATGACTATGAGTTGTACCATTGTTCCAATGACTCGTCCAGCCATAGAGGGTCTCGACACTGTGGTACATATATTTTATATTACTTTTTTATTTTACTTCATCCTCCAAAGCTATTAATTAGAGTAAATGTACATAATGCCTGGCACCTGAGACGACTATGCTGGTGATAATATATATGTCAATTAACGCTACAATAGAAACAGGACGAGTGTATAAAAGCGTAGTTGTATGTTGATGTTGATATTAATATTTTCATTATTGTTGCATAATAAAGGATTTAAAATTTATAGTACGTTACTGCAAGCATTTTATCCATTTGGCAAGAAACGCAAATGAGGACAGAGCACGAATCAACCATGTGCACAGTGACTGTTTTAGACAACCAAGCAAAATAATGTCTTGCAACATACTCATTTCAAATTGTTTATGTGTGATTCTGGTTACGAAGCCTCGTTAAGTGTAGAAAAAGCGATGCAATATCAAGATTGTGTCAGGATAGATACCTATGCAATGTTGGTTAGTGTATATGACATATACAATAAATATTCCATTTGATTACAATAATTAAACGAACGCAATAATGCCGGATCTGTATACAATTAACATATTAAGCTTCCTTTACTAAATAGGCAACTGTCCACGATACTAAACGTATTAAGACATGACTGTGAAATCATGTTTTATACGTAAGAGCTTAATAAAATAGAACAAACAGGTAGTTTCGCTTCACTGGGAAGAGGTTAAAAAACATTTTCATATTAAAAGCAGTGTAGACTGCATGATAAACGCAATAGATTGTAGCCCATTTGTATTACATAGATACATTTAATTAAGAAATAATTTTGTTTTGGTCAGATTGAGGCGATTAATTAAGTTGAAGAAGGGTAAATTGAATAGGTATCGAAGCCGTCTATGATACATTTACTCATGCTCCTCAATTTATTTTGATGCTATATCTCAAATCTGCAGCCGAATGTTGTTGAACCTCGAAAGTTCTGCGTGATTCAGCACAGAAACGTGATGTGATTCTTAAAATCCCCTGTAGATACCAATAAGTGCATTTTGTATATTTCGTCTTCTATCTGTTGTAGGAGGGAGAAGAAAGACGCCCTCGACTCACCTCGACAAGTGAATCACAGAAATCAGTCCAAACACCCAAGCCGACTGGAATGAACTTTTTCAAACTAGTCGCTGCAACAAGAGCATGGCAAAGATTGGCAAAGAAAAAGGCAGCACAAAATGCTATCGCAAAGCCGGCCATACAATACGAGAATACCTACAGACTGGAGCCTACGGATGGAGCAAAATTCATACCATCAAAAGTAGAAAATGTGATAAAAGACATCTTAGAAGCCCGACTTCGTGACTTTAAGTACCGTGCAATGTTTGTGAAAAACTTGACAACCGATCTATCTAACGTAATAAACCAGAGAGTGAAGGCCTTGGGTTTCCCACGCTATAAATTTGTTTGTAACGTGGTGATTATGGAAAATAAACACCAAGGAGTGGAAGTCGCGAGCAGGTGTGTTTGGAACCCCAGTACCGACAACTTCGCCACCCACACTTACAGGAATGCGACAACAATTGCGACTGCGCATGTGTACGGAGTTTACTTTGAATAAGCATTTATGATAAATAGTTAACTCTCACTCATATCCAGCCACCGATAATTAGGATAAGGAATACATTTGGCAACATATTTACGATGTTGTGCTGATTGCATTGTTATTTATTGTACTGAAAGACCTCTTTTGAAAGCATTTGTTTTAAATTACTAAGAAAAAAAATCAATTATATATCTTTAAATAATAAAATGCCAAAAGTTGCTTTTAAATAAGTGTATTTGAAACGATGTGTACGATTTATTAAATCATGCTGTATCAGGCAAGTTTAATTTGAAACCTGTCAAGCTACACTGTTTTTAAAGTATCAAAACGACCAACACAAAGGTTCTACGCCATTTTTTAAAAAGAGCCAAAAATCTTAAGATGCCCTTCTCTATACTCCAAAAGACATTATGCAAGAATATTGGACGCTTTTAATAGTGTAGTATGTTTCCTGTGATATATACCAGAGCTCCTGTATACAAAGTCATTATAAATTGACCACAGCGAAATGTAAAACTTTAGTCAATTTATTTTGTATATAAAACATTTTCTTTAGATATAAAGTGTATAGAGTCCTGGTCCTAGAGATGTATATTGGTTTATAATTGGTTTTGCAGATTTGCGCGGTTTGGAGATTAATTTAAGCAATATGTGGACTGTTATCATCTGCCTAGCCGTCCCTTGGGGTTTCTTTCTAATAATCCTTAAAGCAAGCTAAAACATTTCAATTTAGATTAAAATAAAGTTTTAATTTTATCTGGTTTTGAGATGTTCCCCAGTGACTACATGCATCTCTTCCGGCTGTCGTTTCTAAGGAAGCGATGAAATTTTAGTTTTTGCATGCTTGGTCAATAGTATGGGTATCCATGGGTATAAAAAGTGCATTACCTGTCAAACCGGTTATCATTCTACAATTGAACGTCCTGTAATTCAATACACTGTGCACCCTGATCGGCAACCGATATCAAACATCAAACGCACTTACCTGAAGACTTCGAAACGCTGGTGTTACTTATCGCACATTCAAGAAGCATTGTGTATCCAAATTTAAGCCATATCACTGAAAATATTCCAATAAATGAATGAGTGAAACCAACTTGGAGAATGTGACGAACAGAATGTCTCATCTCGTAGATGTTATTGTCCAGTGGGAGGTGACAAGCTAATCTTTCCTGGCTAAAATGAGAGACACACTAAAGGATTATGTGATCTTGGAAAGTATCTGATAGCGGCAAATAAGCGCCGATCAGATATATGACAGTTTGTATGTGTGTATTGTTCATTCTCCTGTGACCACAGGGGCGAAACAAACGAGTTTTCAATGTGTAAGCCCAATAATAAAATTTGCTGCCGAAAGCAACACACCGAAGCGCGCAGCGCGAGGATGGGGAGGGTATGGGAGACAGGCGCGTAGCTGTTTTTTTTTCTTATGTGCATGCAGAAAGTCGCACCGAAGGTCCGAATGCGAGCGCCGAATGCGAACGCCAGAGGCGCAAAGCCATTCTAGGGGGGTACGGGGGCATGTCCCCCGGATTTTTTTTAGATCTAGAAGCTCTGTCGTGCCATCTGGTGGCTTTTTAGAAACATTTTTGAGTGTTTTAAATTATTTTACAGACAACATTTTTTGGTTGATTCATTCACTTGGTTATTGGAAAGCATCGCAAAAATTCAAATGTATTTCAAATGCGAAAGATAGCTCTCCTTTTTTTCTCCGGCAAAAATGTGTCGATTGTTGGAATTACCCGAAAATATCCTTTGCGTCATATCTCTTTCCTGATGAATCTAAATTAACTAGATATTTAAAATGTCGGAGCCAACATGAACAGATTATTTTCAGATTTTTTGCTGTTGTGTCCCCCAAACCCTTTTTATATCATCAACATTTCTCAGAACATAAGATGACGGTAGCTCCTATATCGATGTTTAGATATATGTATACATATATATCCAGGAGCCCTACTGAAGATAGACCTTGGACTACTCTTAAAAACATACTTTATCAGTTCATGGCAGGGAAAAATTAATGTATCTAACTACATGTATCTATGATGTGAAATTCTCAATAGGCCTACATAATGTCACAGATTAGCAAAAGCTAGGGGGTCATACCATTTCCCATCGATGTGGGTCTGGGGGTCTCCCCCAGGAGAATTTTGTTTTCTAGAACGCCCGAGACGCGTTCTCCCGTGTTCTGGCATCAGTTTCAATGGCGCTTTAAAAGCAAGAAAATATTATTTTCCCCTATTATTTTACAAATATTTTGCTTTTTAATATTTTATATCATATTGTTTTTGTCGCTTTTTTATTATTAAAATGATGTGTGAGCCCGGGCTTTTTTGCTACATAGGTTGTTACGCGCCTGGACCAATGTGACTTTTTGTACATATGTAAATATCCTGTTTAATATATGTTTACACTGATAAGTCGCAAGACTTAAAGATAATAAAGAACTTGAACTTGACCTGTCAAGGGTGGGAGAATAAGGATATCACACCGAGGGGGAGGTGTGCGTACACCTACCAAATGTACGAACATTAAGTTATCATAGGGAGGCGTATTTACAATTTTATAAAACAGTTCGAAACTCCGTATATTCTTTCTAACAAACGAAGCAAAATGATGAAATAGTAAACAGGTATACATGTATGCATTAACACGCATTTAGAGGGTGGGTATAGGGAGGGGTACAGCAATTTGTCCGTGCCCGCACATTAAATTTTTATTATGTACATACGACATTATAGAAATATGATCTGATAGATGCTGTATTACTAGTAACTGTAGTGTGCCATATTTTATATCCTATATATTTGTGGTATTCCGAGGTTTGCATGCCATTTGTTCTTGTTGTACTAGCTTAGTATGTTATCAAGCACTTGATCACACCGCTTTTACTTTAATTATGTACATATATAAGTCTACGTTACATTTTTGTATGTTTACATAAATATATTTAAACATCATATTATCACAGGGCCCGATTCCTGTCTTTGTAATCCTTAATAATTTTAGATATTATCTGTTAGAGCCGAGCATGAGTTCTGCTTTCTCTGAGTATTGGTGCTATAGTGTGTTCATATGTGTATTCTACTTGCCAGTTAGAAGCTGGATAAGTCAATACCCTTATTAATAAACTCACACTTATAATGATTAAATGCACGACTCAAATTACTAAAGTGACATTACATGAATACGAACTAAGCTTTTAAAACAATTATATAATAAGAAAGAGATATGGCGGGTTGCTATGCCTATTTCCCCAAAGCTATGTTACGCTAGTGCGCGCATCCAACCGTGCACTATTATGTCGGAATCCCGTGTCTAAGAATAGATTATTGTAAACAGACCACATATTTGGTATTTCGGCATTATATGTTGGTGTTTAAACACTTGATATAAATACTATTGCCAGTTGGAGGGTAAAACAATTTATAAATTTCATCAAAAATAGTGTCTTACCTACAAAGCGTAGCTGTACTGTACACGTGTACAGGAATTTGTTGACATGCTTCGAGAGAAGTATGTCGCACTAAATAGTAAAGAAAGTATTACTAACAAAACTGATAAATCAATAGGTATGTTATTAAAATGCAAACAAAATCTTCCATCGATTTAAAAAAAACACCATTGCCTTATTAGGGAAAATTATCACATGCCTAAATATCTAAAAAAAAAATAACTGAAGGGGGATTCGAACCTGCACCGTTTATTTTCTAGTCGCAAGTAAACTGCGTTACACATTCGGCTACATAGAACATATAGATATTGGCAATTACAAACTGTTTTAACCCGAGAAACACCGGTCGCAGTTTAGAGAAACTTGATCACCCCTGTTTTTCATTATTTTGAGCACTTTCCCAAAGGAGGACCACTTTTCCGTAATACGATTTGTTTTTGCATATTACATCACGGTCACAAATAGTTTATTCAAAAGTTGGTCCTCAGATGGGAAAGTGTTGAAAGTATTTTTTAAGTCCGGGAAACCCCATCACTTTCATAGATATAGTGTATATGGCTATATTTGCAGTATCATATTAGCAATACCTAATTTCTTAGCATTTTAAAATTTCGTATTCAATTGGTTTTGTATCTTTTGTATGCAATTTTGCTACACAAAATGTTTTATTCCTGATTTTTTTTTCTCGTTTTCATAAATGCCGACTTAGGGAAATACGGGCAGTTTTCCGCCATACCTCTTTATATCATTCTCATATTAAAATCAAGACAATAATTTAGCATGTTTCAAGCTCTTTTCTCATACATTCTGTTCTTGTTGTGTATTTCCCGTTCGATACGTCCGGTCTGTTTATCCGTTCTTTTATGGGTTTACTATGTATTTCCATATTTTAGTGTTTCCCAAGGGGTCTAGTTATTTTGTATTACCTTGTTATTTACCGCTATTTCGTCTCTTATTTTGTATAAATGTTAGAGCCTTGTTGTTTCTGTTGTATACAAAACATGATATTATTTGTTTATCTATAGTAGTCAGTTACTCCGGATGCCGCGCAGAGCCGCAATAAGCATGTGCATGAGTTCGTTTTCTCGTAGTTGTTGGATCGTTTACCATATAAAATAATATTTCAAATGGCACAAACCAGTTACTGTAGGCTACTGTAAAACTATACTGTAATGGTCATTTAGTCCAAAAAACACTGCAACTTAAAGCGTATGTGTTTAAAGATAATTTTCTGCATGCCAAACAATCGCATTTTTGTCCAGTTGTAGTATTGGTCAGTGCTTTTACTTTCACTTTCGCCATTTTACAAGGAAATCACGGTGTAGGGAAAGTTATACAAAACCAACACTGGCCTGTGGTTAGATAGATCTCCAAAGACAGAATAATCCCAACATAGAAAACAGAAAAAATATACCATTTTTTTCATACTATTACGGGACGGTTTCTATATAAGTCTCTCACAAGTGCAATTGAAGGCAGTGATTCCTTGAAATATTTTTGTCCGTCAAATTAGTTTCAGGTCGGCTACTTTCGCCTCTAAATGTACAAACGACCGATAAACAAAAGGTGAACATGCGTTGTGCATCGCTTCTGTGATCAAGACTCGTGATATCACAGTCATATTTTGTTTCTCTAATGTACTCTACCATTGCAGTGTTATGAGCAAGATCAACATTAATTGAAAAAAAGAATATTTCAAAAATATTACAAAAGTTGCATCTGTTTATATCGATTATCTATCTAATCATACTTGTTGGTCCGGAACGTAGCTCCAATATTTATCTTATTTTAAGGTTTGCTTACATAGTAAAACCGTACAACCAATATATTTTGGCCGCATATTTATATTGGAACATAGCCCTGCGATCTACATCTACTAGAAAACCACAAGTTTGTACTCATATAGATATATTTGTATATATATTTGATGCAATATTATATGTTTAAAATATCCTTCCGTAAAATAGTAGGTTTTGTTTATATCAATTTTATGTTATAAATGAATAAAATTTATGAAACAACTAACGAGTTACCATTTATGATTATAATACATTTCCTGACACTAGCAGGGATATATAAAGCCAGAGATTGGCAATTCGCGCAGATCTCGCAAACGCACGCATGAGCATGTTGTTCCGTCGCGAGACTTGAGCTGCAGTCGCGCATATAGGCGGTATCGGCTTTCGTTATAGGTTTCGTTTAATAATTTTAAGTTTTATAAGTATCGGAGACCATTTTTATTTACGAAACGCAACAATTAATTATATGATAATAGAAGTCCATCTGAATACTGAAATAGATATATATATATATACATTTTAGCATTAAAGAACGCACATCGTGATATGTACATATGATAAGGACGACTAATTAGTGTTTTTAACGTTACTACATGCAATTATAAGTGATACCTATGTGAGTTCAGGTATGAATTTGGCAGGGTGTGTCAATATGTCGTGAACCTTTATCTAGAAATTTAATTAGCCATAGGAGTAAGAATACAATTACCAGTACCGATCCCATAAGGCTTGTTACCCCTACCCGCACCTGCCTCCCTTAGTTCGGTTCCCGTAAGATCTCCTCAAGGCAAGTCAGCTTCACATCTGTGATGAACTCCTCAAGGGGTTACTTGGGTCAGGTACGAGTGTCCAATTATGAGCTTTAAATTACACAACTAACAAATAGGTGTAAAGTGAATAAAATGCTCATTTCGATGCTCTTATAAAATGACTTTATTGTGAAATCGTCCTTTTCTCTTGAAACTTATTTTATGGTATGTCAATCAATATTCAAAATATTGTATGAAGTCTATTTATCAGGAGAAATAAAAAAAACTGAACCGTTTTAAAATTGACCGTCGAGAAAAAAAGAAGTTAAAGCTACAGTCTTGCCTATTTTTTCTGTATTATAATGAAATGGATGCCAATGATGACTTCTCATTCTGAATTCACAGTATATTCTAAGATGAATTTAACAATTTTGTAATTATTTCACGAAGCTGAAACCAAAGAAGCACAACATAAAAAATATTGTAGAATATAAATCACCGAACAGATTTGAAATTGATCGCCTAGAAAAAAGGGTTTAAACAACAGCCTTGCCTATTTTTTCTCTGTGTTATAATGTAATGGCTGCCAGTGATATAACTTCTCATAATTCTGAAATCAAGGAATATTCTCATACTAATTAACAAGTTTTGTAATTATTTCATGACGCTAAAATTAAGAATTACAATGTAAAAAATATTAATTATCAAATTATGTTGAAAAAGGCCTTCTAGGAAAAATCTAAATTGAACACAATGACGAGTAATGGCCGCCGTAATTTGCGTTTCGGAAATCCTCTAACGATATCGTAGGCCGTAGCAATGAAATCTATGTCATCCAAATAGACTACCCGACACGAGTGCGATTCGGTATGAGAAAGAGGCAGTTTCTTATGATATCTCTGTAGTATATACGTCTCTGACGATAGTTCAATTCCTTATGAATTTTGATATATTGTTTATTTGAATATTTTCGCCGCAGTTGAACAAAGTCCTTTTCGCCCTCTATAAAAAGGGAGAATGTATCATGACAGCGGATATTAGTGCATGTTGTCATATATGTAGTAATGGCATGTGAAGGGCGATAGGGGCCGCGGTGCCCACGCTATGAATGGGCCCGGGCTATGCTAGTACGGGTTAGTACAAGTACGTTGTTCCCCGTAACTAACCGCACTGATCCTTGGCGACCTGAGGCTGGGGATGTGCTACGAATGAGTACGGACTTAAACGGATTAGTATGTTCTACTACGGATTCGTCTAAGGGTGTACTAAGGTTGTCTGAT